CAGTGCTTGCAGGGGAGACACTGGTACCCCTGCCTGCCCCCCCTGCCATTGCCTAAGTGGGGAGTGCTGCTGTCAGGGGGTGTACCAGTGCTCTCAGGGGGTGCACGTGCACCCCTGTGCATCCCCTACATGTCGCCATTGAGCAAAAATAAAAAATATAAATAAAAAGGATATATATTTTTTGAAAACAGAACAAGCCTCTGAGGTAGTGGTGAATCATAAATATACAAGCCTTGGACTCAAAACTGCAGTGCTAGAGAATTCTAGGTAACTAATGCGGATATTTCTCACTGCGACAGCAGAGGTCATGTGCATTCTTCATAACAATACCACATGAAACTTCATCTCCATTTCATCTTCTAAAGCTGAAACAGCAAGCCTGTTGCTGGAGCTCATTAGTGTGATACAGGCGTTGTCAGACAAGACAGAAAAATATTCATGCTCCTCAGTTCTCAACCTATTTATTTTATAATAAATGAAGTCTGTGCTCTATTTTAAAGCAGCACCTGGAATGCTAGGTGCATCGTTTTTGTGAGGGTTTTTTTTTAACTGTTATTTTTCTTTTTGATCATTTGGACTGTGGGCACTGAATTGGGATTCATTTACACTGATCAGTATATGGCAGAGCTGATACCCAAGGTACTACTGATATTACTTAGCTTAAAAGACAGAACAAACAAGAAATACATCCAAAGGAAACCTGATTACTATAGATTTTGCATTGTTTATTCAGTACCTGCCTACAGGTTTGCAACATTTTAATAGTCAACACATTAAGAAATAATGGAGTTTTATACCCTAAAAATCCATCACCTAATATTGCCATTTGTCATAGATTTTTGTCCTCATCAAGCCCTTTCCTGGCAAACCCCCCTTGCACCAACTTTTAATCTAAAAATAAACCTAACCAGAAGGCAATTGCTTTTGTTTGGTTTGTGTTCTACAACCTTCATGACATTTCTTAAAGTTAGGTTCTGTTCGGAAGAGTGGGACTGAGAACAAACAGCATAATGGGGTTCTAACTCTTGTTACATCTCTCTGAAGCTGTATAAAGTTTACTTATTTTATAAGAGAGGCATTTTTTTCTATCAGCTTTCTAGGCTCCAACTAGGATCCTGTAACAGGATCGTGTCCTCAGGGGCAGCCACAATGCTCCCTGGTAGACACGCAGTTCCTGCCCTGCTCTGGCTCTAGGGTACCCTCCCTTCCTTCCTGCCTGCCATGTCTTGATTTTCTTAAATAATTTTGAAAGGGAGACTGCCAAGTGTCCTAGAGTGAGCTCCACTGTCCTCCTGCCAATGGATTTTTCCCTGTCCCCACTGGTCCCACTCCAATCCTCACACTATGTTGGCCCTCCTAGCCCATACATACCTCCAGGGCACTTCTTGCCTTATAGGTTATTCATGGTCTCCAACCTCCTCTACAGCCATACCTATGCCTCACAGGTGTTCTGAGTAAATCAGTTTAGTGGGCAGTCACAGTCCCAGTCTAATCTTCTGCCTTGGCAGACTTCAATGTCGTAGTCAGTATCTGCTCCTCCTGGGCTACTGGGACCCTGGCCTCAGTATCTTCCCCTTGTAGGCTACAGGCCCCTGACCTGGGCTCTGCCTCTCTCAGGTGTTAGGCCCTTGGACCTGTCTATGCCCCCCTTGGGCACTGGGTCCCTGGCCCTGTGTGTGTGTGCATTTGTGTATGTGTCTTTTTCCCTTACTTGCTGGGCCCCTGGCAGAGTTCTCACCCTCTCAGAGTATTCTTTAGCTTTCTCCCTGCCCCTGAGTGGCTCGAGCCTTATGTGCCTTTCTGGCACTAGTGGCACCTTTATGATTCCTGCTAGTCCCAACCCAAACTGCCATTCATAACTGTAACAAAAGAATAAGCCCTCTTGGCTATAACACCAATTCCTCACTGGATGCATCTGCATGTTCATTAATGCACCATAATTACAGCACATTGTTTAGTACCTGTAATACCTGCCTGGCCAAGGGTAGCCCAAGAATCTATTAGGAGCTCTTCTTCATCTCTTCTGCACTGGAGATCTTTCCACTGCAGTCTCGAAGGTCAGACTGCCTACCCTGGCTCAGTCACTGGCTTCATGTGCTGCTCAAGCCCTCCCCACTTCTGGTCAGGTATGTTCTCATGTAATGACTCATCTTTAGACAATCACCTGAACATTTAGATGCTAATTAGACTTGAACACTCAAAACCATTTGAGGTTTAACCCTTACTATGGATTATAATTAAATCCACTATGATTTAACACACACACATGCATACACACTCTAATTTATACTCCTCTTCCATCTAGTTTTCCAGATAACAAAACATACTGAGGCTAGTGATGAGAGAAAACATTTTCTTTTGTAAAACACAATAAAACACCCCACCACCATCACATTCCCAGTGGTGATAAGATTAAAACAGTTTAGACATTTTTGATTAAACTGTATTACTTACTGTGGCAGAGCACTCTGGTGTCTGCCACTTTAAGAGCCTGAAGAGGCAACCAGCAGGTGCGGCCCAGCTCTGATGAGCAGCCATTTTAAGATTCAGGCCAGCAGAGCTGGAGGCAGCATTCTGCTCCCTATCACTGAGGAAACAGCATCTCCTGGGAGAGTTGCTGCTTTGGTAACACTTGGAGGTAAGGGCAAGAGCACACGGGGATGGTTAGGAGGCTCTTGGTCCTGGGCATAACTTAAAACTGCATCCTGCTGTGGATGAGCGGCCTGGTGGGGCTGTTCATGGTGGAACAGTTCCTCAGAAATGCCAGGCTAGTTACCAGCTTGGTGGAAGGCGAGTAGGGGCACCTAAACTCCAGCCCCCACCTTTTGGTGGGTCATTTAACACCAGAGGCAGTTGGAGGCCAGGCACGGTTGCAGCCACCTGAGTCCGTGTGGGGTGCAAGACCCTGGAGAGTGAGAATAGCAGGCCAGGCTTGCTGGGGGGTGGCACCTGAGCCTGTGGGGGGGTGGTGTTTGACCCCAGGTCCCAGCATAGGGGGTGGAATATGTGCATCAGTGGAGGTGGAGGTGTATAGCAGGGTGCAGTGGGGCACCTAATGGTCTGCACCAGAGTGGTAGTTGGGAGGCCTGGAAAAAGGGGCGAGTAGTGAGGCCCTGTGAACACGGGGCCTGAGAAGAGGCCCTGTAAGGAAAGGGCAAGAAGTGGGCCCCTGGTGAGCAGGAGGCTTGAGGGTACGCCCTGCTAACATGGGGGCCAAGTTAGGTCCAGGTAAGCCTTCAGGCACCTGATGCCGCAAGTGGGCCAGAGGCCAATTGGGTGGGGCAGCTGAGGAAATGCCACAAGTAAACAATGGGGCAAGTCAGGAGCCCCTAATTTAGAGCAGCTGGGTGAGCAACTCAGTGAGTGGCCAGAGGCAGAGTCATAGTTTCATAGTTTCTAGGGTAGGAAGGGACCTGAGCAGATCATCGAGTCCCACCCCCTGCCACGGCAGGAAAGAGTACTGGGGTCAAACAAGGTGTATATCTAGCCTCCTCTTAAAGAACCCCAGGTTAGGAGCCAGCACCACTTC